TCGAGTTCATGATGAACGGCGTGAGATCTATATCAATCCACTCTTCTCACCTCGGCGCCGTTACTGCTTCCGTCGAACTGCATCTCATTCCTATCGCACATGCCCTCCTCAGCAATCTGTTGTCCTTCGAGTCCTAGAATAGTCGTGTAGTATTAGCATATATAGAGGCCACTTGCAATCATAACATCCATGCTGACTTCGGGCGAAGTGCATCGTCTACGCGATCTCGGTTATGATCATGAAGACATCACTCAATCGTCGTATTCCATAAGTAGTAGTGAATGAGAGCACAAGCCCTGGGTATCGTGACATGGTTAGCAGCATAAATAGCTTGCCATACATACTATCGTGTCCAATTCAAGCATCCAGATCACTTTACACCTAGATTCAACACTTAGCCAAATCCAAACACAAGTCCGACAAGATCCCTCCAGCCGCGTCGTACAACAACTCTGACCCCACCTCCATACTCCTCCCCGATCCACTCGACAAACCGCGCGTCAAGCCCACTGAAAGGCCCGAGCTCGAACGACATCACGTCCTTCGGCGTCAGCACCACCATCCGGCCGTCGGCCTCGTCTTCCCGCGCCGAGCCGGAGGGCACAGCGAACCGCGACTGCAGCTGGCGCGCGGGCAGGAGCCCCGCGAGCCTGTCGAGCACCGCAGCGGTGTGCGCGTGGAACGCCTGGAGGAGCGCGAGCGTCGTGAGCACCTGGCGCTCGCGGCGCGCTTCCCCGACCGCGCGCGAGCCCGCGCCGCCGTTCGTGATGAAGTCGAGGTCGTCCTCGTCCGGCTCGCCCTTCGCAGCCTGCGCGCGGCTCGCCGCGGCGCTGGATGCGCCCGCCCAGGTCCACGCGGAGCCTGCGCTCGAGCGCCGTGCGCCGCGTGACGGGCCGCCGGGCCCGGGCACCGTGTCCGCCGTCGGGCGGCCCTCGATGCCCATGCCCAGTGAGCGCACGTATGGGCGCGTCCTGCGGGGAAGAGTGAGGTCGTCCTCGCCCTCGAGGCGCACGCTGCCCCAGTTCTCGATGCGCCCGGCGGAGGAGTACGAGAGCGGGGAGCTGCCGCGCCAGGAGCCCATCCAGAGGCCGGCGCACATGATGCAGACGTCCTCGTACACGCGCCAGACGTCCGTCCATGTTGAGCTAGAGCCGCGGGCGCGCTTGCCGTTGCTGCGGGAGGGGTCGCAGCATGCGTCGTGGGGATGGTCGGCGGCGTCGATTTGGAGCAGCCGGTCGAGCTCTGTCCACTAGGGAACACAAAACTAGGTTCAAGAGAGATGAGACGGAGAGATGGTGTGTAGAACATACCAGCTTGACGTCACTCCATGTGAAACGGACAACGGACAGCCTGTGCGACAGTCCTCTTGGCGAGAGCTGCTCTACGGGCTTCGAGACATAGAACGTCGGGCGCGTGTTTGGCGTTGCTGTCCGCAGGTCGATGAGCAAATCATAATATGTAGGCTTCTCGAGGAAGATCGCGTCCGTGGTGCACGCGATCCACCCACGCCCTTTCTCGCTCTCGTCCTCCAGGCGCTCCAGGTCGTTCAGGGTGACCATACCCAGCACCCGCATCCCCTGCGCCGACTTGCCCGTCAGCCGCGGCGGGTCCTCCTCGTCCTCGTCGCCCCCGTCGACATCGAGCCCGCCCCGCTGTGCCTCCCAGCACACGTCCGCTGCAACCTGGCACAGCACGCACGCCGCCTCGACCGGCGGCAGGGTGTAGATGAGGATCCGGCGGCGCCCCAGGACGTGCTTGTACAGCGTGAGCGACGACGGCCCGAGGATGCGCAGCAGGTGCGGGAGGTGCACCGTGGGGCTGCTCGCGCGCTCGTCGCCGTCCAGCTCCCCGCTCCAGCCGCTCCATTCGCCCGCGACGCCCAGGTCTGCGTGCCGCACCCGCCGCTCCTCGAAGAACGCCCGCGCGGGCTCCCAGTCCTCGTGCATCGGGTCAAGGCCGGCGCGGTCTTTCAGAGAGGTGTAGATGGTGGAGATCACGTCCTTGAGCGCAGCGACGTGGCGCCATGGGCGCGGGCGGGACGACTTGGCGAGCAGGATGCCGAGAGATGAGAGCCGGAAGCCGCGGTGCCCGTCCTCGGTGGTCCGCCGCCGGTGGAAGATGCAGACACCGGCGTGTTCGCCCTTTGTGAAGTAGCTGTATGGCTTTGGTCAGTAGCAGGCTCACATGGAACAGGGTGCAAGGTCCGCACATGACGTCACGCTCGATGAGGTGCAGTCCGCTGGGCAGGCAGCTGAATTCGACGTGCGTCAGGTCGAGGTCTGCGACACTAGTCAGTATCTTCTGAATGCGACGAACGATAAGAGCTACCGTCATCGGCTTTGAGCGACCAGTCGACGACATTGCCCTGCGTTGGATGGAAGGAGGTATGGAATATGGCGACTGCAATCCCAGGTCAACACGGAAATCGCACACTAGTGTATACGTACTCACCAACATCATGCGGAATCCCTCCAGAATCTAGCGACTGCATGGTGAAGGGTGTCGTCGAGAAGCCGTGAATGGTGTCGTGGGCGGTGGATTTCGTTAAAAGATCCGATCTATTAACAGAATGTTCATATGAGACATGATTGTGGAACATCCGTGGCTGACCTTGGACTGATGCTCGGACTGGTCTGACGCTCGAAGTCCTAGCATGAGCTCGCCGAATCGCCGGCGGCTGGTCGTAGATCTTGCGCATGGAAACATCAGTACACCAATGTAACAGGTCGTCACAAAGTCCTGCGCACCTCAATCTTGAGGAGATGTCGAACCGGATGCACGCAGAGATGGTGGACGACCAGCCGCTGTGCAGTGCTGCGACGGGCCCTAGCGCCGTGGCTGCACGCTAGGTTCGTCATAGTAAGCGGCTCGGCTTAGTGTGTTCCCACGGTAAGCATAGCTTAGCATAGCTCAAGTAAGCTGTACGCAGTAATTAAATATCTCTGCCGATAGCTCGGCAATAAACTGCGGCAATAACAAAATTGTTACGGCCTGCTACGACGCTCGACTGCAGTACTGAGCATCCATACCTGGTGCCCCAGAAACTGTCCTGCGGCGAAGATTGGACTTGAGGGAAGGGGTTTGCTCGATCGGGAAACACCTTCTCTCCTACGATGATCGTCCTCGTCACCGTCTCTTCTGACATCATTCTGGCACTTGACTACATCATCGAGAAGTCCGCCGGCCCTTGATCGACGCAGGACCGATATCATATATATCTGGGATGGATGGACTCATGATCCCCGTCCTCCACGCCTCCCAGGTCATACAACCCATCTCCTGGCACAATGTGCTGTCTAGAAACAGGCCCAAATCTCGCGCCCTTGGTCCACTATCCTCTACTCTGCCTCTATCCCGGGACCGTCCCAGCACCATGCGCATATCTCGGGCCATCAATGTCAACTCTCGAACTTGCTGCGAGTAGAATGTGTCCATCATTGGCTATGTACAACGTATGTCTGCTGGTTCGTTCAGCAAACGCTTGATCGCTTATTGTGCTGTGCGACTCTCTTTGTTTCTGAGTCTCTCTCCCAGACGCTACTCCGTATGCATAGAGCGTCGACAATCCTTTTCTTAGCGAAGCACTTCGTGGTCGTACGGACAACTCCCCGGCCGCATATAGGGAGGGTATGAAGGCGAGGAGTTTATCTCGTAATGGGAGGCGAATCTCCAGTCACCAGTGAGTTGTCTCTTGTCCGTTTCCCTCCCCATCGGCGCCCTACGCTACCTCTGTCGCCATCATACTGTGAGTAAGCTCTCTCACTCTAGGTCTGCTCACCTTGATCCAGAATACCGGGCTCAATGCCGGAATCGACGCCACACAAGCAACGTTCGTCCAAAGTTGAGGACACTCTTATCCTATCTTCCTCCTTCTGGTCTCTTGTAGTACAATGCCACCAACGCCGATCTCGCCACGCACATGTTGGTGATGAGGGGCTATATGCGGTCGTTTAGGTGGGTCGAAGCATGGTTTCCAGGTATGCCCTGCGCAGACGCCGGTGCTTGCGAGTCATCCACCTCGCATACGCCCAACCTCCACAAGTATGATCCAACCCAATGCTTGCAGAGGTCTGGCTGATCACAGATGCCCGTTCTGAAGGCAAGTACGATTCCTGAATGATGTGTTTTATCCCGATTGGACCAGTCGCTCAGCGACTCGTTTGCCGAAGACTGATCCGCCAGCACCGCTCGTTGAGGTCATGACCTCTCATGCAACTAGAATTATTTGATCAAGGCCAAGACTGACCCTGTGGAAGACATTTAGGCCCATATTTCCAGGGATCTGTCGCAGATCGGCATAGGATCCAACGTCAAGAGCATGCTTTGCATATTCGGTGTGTCTGCTTGAGCAGTACACCTCATGGAATGCCCTCAGGCGAACACTCTAATTAATGTGGCCAATGGCCACAAAGCAAGCACCCTCGTTTCGAACAGCAATGGCCCAATCGTGACTCATACCGAACGCTGTGCCCCCGTTGTTGACCTCATTGCGGCACTGATTCGTCGGAGCACGATGGTCGACGGTGCGGAAATGCACGATGCAAGACAGTGCTGCACGTCTGTGTCAGGTAGGTAGCTCCCTTTGTGTATTGGTGCATTTACGGTGTTAATGCTTGACAAACGCTTTTTACCTCCATCGGACGCCATGAAACAACGAGATGGAATTTGTTGCTGCTCGGCCGCATTGTATATACCGTTCTCATCGGGTGCGCCTAGTTCTTAATTGTGCATTCGTGGTGTAGCGGTAACATTGGGTCTTCCCATGGCCTAGCTCCGGGTTCGACTCCCGGCGGATGCATTAAAATTTGGGTGCTGCACTATTTTTGCCCTGGAAATCATGTTGTGCAACTTTATCACAGGTCAAGTGAGTCTCCTCATCCTGAACTTTTGATTGTTTTTGCAGAAAGGCAACCCTACTGTTCGTTGGCACATGGATGTTCTGCTGTCCACAAATCAGAGGTAAAACCACATAAACCTACCCATTTGTATTCTTTTCCATGTCCGATATGGTGTAATGGCTAACATGGCCGCCTTTCATTTGTGCTTACGTAAGCCACGTGACACGTTGTGGTCGCGGCAGCTCGGGGTTCGATTCCCCGTATCGGAGTAACATGTGTATGGTTCACTTTTTCTTAACTTTTCCGTGGCCTTGTTTTGCTGCACTAATTCCTCCCTTCCCCCCCCCCCCCCAAAGTTTGAGGGCAATAATCGAATATATTCGCCAAGTTGAGCGTTACGACTATCTACAGGCGGTTTTCGTAATGGGAGGACGAGAGTACGGCAGGAAACCTGAAGGAAAAAGGAAAAGGAGAGCGTGCCGGCACACCATCAAGACCAACGCAGATCGCATCGTATATCGAAACACTCCCTGTATCAAACCAGAAAGAGCAGTCGGCACCTGCTACTGCTGCCGAGCTTTCTCCTTCTCATTCCCATTCCAATTCCACCCCAGCGAGGCACCCGGATCCTCCATCAGATATGGCACATCTGCCGTTGGTTGCGGCGTGGCCAACGTCGGTTGCGCAGCAGGGTTCAGCGAGGCAGAATTCAACGCGTTTTGGGGACGTTTTTTATAGCGCCTGACGTCGCGCCACTTGTTATTCTTCCTGTTTCGCCAGCGAGCGCCATCCGCGCGAGATTCGGGGCCAGGCAAGTGATCGGCTTCATCATGCGCATCGTCATCCTGTGATCGGCTCTGCTCCAGTTCAGAATACGGAGGCCGGTAACCATGCAAAGGCCCGGCGAGGCTTGGCCCAGCAGTCCCAGGGAAATCCTCAGAGCTCATCCAGCGCTCTATCCACGAGGTTGTCTCGTAGTCATCACGGTATTGCTGAGAGATCCCAGTGCGGGCAGTTGGTGTTTGGACGTGATGTCCGCGCGGCGGCCACGGGTCGGCAAGGCCCACATCGTAACCATGTTCTGGTGGATATACATTGGCCGTGCGCTGCATGTGTTGTCCAGTGCGGTAGGACTGTCCGAAATGGTCAGACTTGATGTTGCTACTATAACTCGCTTGCGAGATCCACTCGAGCTGTTCGTAGCTGTCCGCGTCCTGCAATTGTCGATGAGCTAGAGCCACTAACATGAGAGGTAATTGCTTGCCTCGTCCATGTCGTCCTCGACATACGAGCTGTCACTAACCTGAGTACATAGTTATGAACGTTATGAATACCGCACTCTGATCTGCTCAAGAACATGACTCACTTGAGCTGGAATATCATTGATAGCGGCTTCATCAAGGTGCTGACTTCTGAGGAACGCGCGCCAGCGATTTTCGGGCGATGCTGAGCGCGCAGTAACTGACAGACTGGAGAAGAATGCTCCAGATGATACAGGACGTGAGTTATCATTCGGCGGATTTGCCGTTATCGAGGAGGAGGTATCTAGTGACGGACATGGGTATCAGAATGACCCATGAATTGCAGAAATAGCGAGCACGTGCTTTACTCACCAGACGGCTCTACGAAAGGATCTATGAAAGGGTGTCCACTGCCCATCGACTGCTCATACTCTGCGGAAAAACTGGTATATTCTGACGGAGAATCAGGTTTGCGTGCTTTTGGTCCCGCGTCTGCCTTGGCATTATTATTTTCCTTGGATATATCTTTCCGTGCACTTGCTGCCTCGATGACGGCCACAGAGGCCGATGCTGATGCAATGGCGAGTCCATCTTCTACGTTCTTGACTGAAATTACTGTCTCGTCCGCGGCGGTGATCGACATAGCACTGCCCACAGTCCCGGACTTGTCACCGATCGCGTCACTGCATCCTTGTCCAATAGGTTCCTGCGAAGTATATTAGCCACTGAAATTCATAAAAGCACTGGCAGTCGCACCTTGCCCACGCGCTGACGGTATTGCTCTGCGCGCTCGCGATTCTTCTCTTTTCTTCTTTTCTGTCCGGCTCGTCCGATTCTCCTACTTCGCTTCGTAGCCTGCTCCGCAGGTCCCTCAGGTTGATCTTTTGGTTCTCTTTCGCGATCCTCTGCCGGGACACCCATCTGCGGAGATTGTGACATTGCAGTCGCCCGAGTCTCCGAAGCATCGTTAAGAGTTGCTTCACGCGCTTCGATGTGCGATGTTGAGGGTCCGAGCGACGAACCCGATCCGACAGCGGCCGGATTTAGCGAATCAACCGACTGGGCACCGTTAGGACGATTATCAGCCAGCGAGCAGGAAGTGGGGGTAGAGACCAAAGCAACGGAATAGCTATCGAGTGTGTCTTGTGAAAGAGCGGTCGGTGCTTTGGACGGCTGAAGGCACAGACTAGCGACGGGAACTACAGCTTTTGCAGAAGAACGGACCGTTTCGACAATGTCGCCAACCTCTGACGCGTCAGCACACATTGCTACTTCCTCATCGCAGGTCGCTGTAGCGGTCTTAATGAGCTGCCTTGCTAGATCGGTCGTAGAAGTACAATTTTCGACCTCTGTGGTGTGTGGAATAGGGACCAGAGCTGTATCAACTAGGGATAGGGAGGAGTTCGCGGAGGCAACATTGATATCGTTTACCGGCCTCGGGTCATCAGCGAGAACGCTGGAAGTAAGGGATGTATCCGTCGCCGAGAGATCCTTGGTTCTGGAGCAGCTCCCTCCCACAATGGAGTCTGGCGTAGAAGTGTCCAAGATTCTAGCAAAATCACTTGATTCTGCGTCGTTTCCGGAGATAACCACAATTTTGCCGTCAGCAGAATCAGTTACAAATCCTTGGCCGTCAGCATGGGTCCTGAAGGACGAATCCAAGGCGTCGGGAAGACTGCGGACAGAATCAAATACTCCGGTGTTATCGCAGAGCCCGAATTGGATTGGTGGTCGGTTCATCGAATGCATTGAACGCGACATGTCTTGACCCGGGGGCGGAGGCATGTTCACGGATGACGTAGTCTGCATGCAAACAATCACATCGTCCGCAAGACCAGATCCAAAATTAAGATTTGGGACGACGCTTGCTGGGAAAGACTTCGGGGTACGCCAGGCCGAGTGTTCCCACTTGTCCAAATCGTGCCTTGACGTGTTGAACGGAGAAATATATCGAATACTGGCATCGAGATCCTCTGCACTCTGAAGAACAGAATCGCCTTTGTGAACGGCTTGGCGGACATCACGGAACGCCTCCCCACAGGTAGTCAGAGCCACAGGCGAAGATTCATGTGCACGCAACGCTGGTTTGGATGTGATAATCTTCCGCGACGCGCGCAGAAGAACGGGATCATGATACGCGAAGTCAGCGATACCCTCGAAGGGCCATTGAAGTTGGTCGTTTGGGGTCGAGAATATAGGGATCTATGAAGATGTGTGAATTCCGAATGTAATCCAGCCACAAACGCGACAAGCTTACGGCACTACCGTTGTTTCGTGAGGTTGCTCCATGCTCCAAGTTCAACTCGACGCCCACTATGTCCTCTCGACACAAATCCGATGGCATCAATATTTGCACAATGAACAAAAGCAGAACGACGATGATCTCGAGATACGGGTATTCAATGGACCAGACACTTGCACTATGCGAACCAATCGGAGGATGTGAGATGTTCAATGCCATGGTACTCGATAGAGAAGCCTTGAGGATAAGAACATTGGGACACATCGGGGCCGTGAGCGCTGGTGTGGCACGATGATGCGTAAGTGGATCGTTTGTGGGGCGTGATTCAGAGAGACCGTCGCTGTGGCGGACGTGCCGAGACGATGAGGATGCGAGGGGCAATATATTTCGACGTGCATCACTGAGGAAAGCTTAGCGTTTGCACTGCAATGCCAGGAAAGAAGAGAACCTACCTGAGCGTGCTGACAGTAGTATCAACAATAACAACGACTTCGGCGACAGCATCGAGCAGCAGTGAGCGCAACGTTGCAGCACCAGGACCCAGGACAGCCGGGACACTTATAAAGCTCAAGAGCGTGGCGATGCTCACGAGTAGACAAGGCAGCATTGCCAGCATGGCCGTCAATGGCTTTGGCAGTAGATTGTGGCGACGAGTATGCAGAACTGTTCAACTAGTGCGGTGTGGCAAGGTAGAAGATGTGATGTAGCGCAACAATCGGAACGTATTACGGCGCGATGGATACGCCTAACACCGATGGAAAGGTCACAGGTGGGAGATGGGAAGGAAAAGGCGTTGCACTATGTTGTCCTCTTGATCTTGTTATCGTTCAATCGCGCGAGATGATCGCACTGACCAAAAATGGCAATCGAGCGTACGGGCGTTCGTCGACCTACACTGGTTCCTCCTCCTGGTACAGTACTACGCGTGCCGAACGTCCGCGCAATGAATACAACCGCACATCCTGCCACTACCCACGCATTTGGTATCACTGAAGAGCAAGGTCTTGAGCTGACACATAACACCTTTTTCCATCGGCACTCAGAAGCTTGGCAGGCGTGACGCAGCCTGACCATTGAAGGCACTTGGCCAGCAAGCGGCGAGCCTCAGTCATATAATATAGTGGCGGCTCCGAGAGCTCATGCTTATATCGCCTCGGCATGAGGTTCTCATTCCATCGCTTCACTTATTATGGGTAACCCTGAATGTATCAGACGGCTATAAGGTCGGCCTTGCCTTGGTGAGGCTGTGTACAGGTAGTGGACTACAACATGGTTCTGCACCAAAGTATAGTACTTGTTCATGTTCGGGACATCCAGCCAATGTACAGAGCTCGGATGTAGCGTCACATCTTAGCGTGTAACCCTATGTCGTCTATCCGCGGGCTGTGCAGTCCCCCCTGACGGACGTATGATATTGTGCTATCGTTATAAGATGTGCGGAGATTCTGACACAGAAAAGCTTCCATAAATGTTTGCGGCATTGTTCCGACTTGTTCTCAGCTGACCGTCAATGGATCAATGGCGCCCGTCTCACCCTGTAAACCGATAGAAACCGCCGACTCCCGTGTACAAATAACAGCGGATTTCAGAGGTTAGTAACGGGTGCTCACGATAACAGGCTTTAATGCGGGAAAGATCATGCACAATTAATGTGGCCTCGATGTGACTGCAAAAGTTTGGCTTTGCTGAGGAATAGATAAGCACCCCCACATGGCCAACTGCCTGCCTTCCAGACGAACGGTTAGTTGCAGTGAAAGTATGATGATACCAAGAACTGATGTGAGCA